ACTATAAGTAATTTTACACTTATTGTACTAAAAATCCCGAAAATCATTTTGTTGTTGTTGCCCATGTGCGAAATGTACGCTAGTAGAATGGAAAGAGAAACACCCCGTGTTTAAATCTACACATTTTAGAGTTAAAATATGCACTAATAAGAATTTATTAGAGATATTTAGATAAAACTGTACCAATGGTAGTGTACCATGTACCTGATTTAAAAATAACTCTACAAAAGTTATAATTTAATTGATTTAGTAAAAATATCTACATGTTTTTATAATATCTAAATGTTTTTATAAAAGAAATAAAGTTACATTGTGACTAAATAGTGTAAGATATATTTAATCTAAAGTTAGAGTTAAAAAAGAGTTACCTAGATAACAAAATAGATAAGATTGGATTTTAGAGTTAAAATATTGCATACGTTTACCCTAGATTTTAACTCTAATATTTTTAACAGGTACTCTAGAACATTTACACGGGCTAATATTTGGACACTGGTTGGTAATGGCATAATAAAATAATTTCTTGATAATAGTAAAATTTGTTTCTTAAATTTTAATTTGATATTTTGCCAGCAATTTCAAAGATATTTGAAAAAATCATTTATGCCCAAATAATAAGCTATTTGAACAAACATAGTATCATTCCTCTAATTCAGTCTGGATTCAGAGAAAAACACAGCACTAGCACGGCATTATTAAAGGTGTCTAACGATATAGCCTCATCTTGGGACAATGGTTGCCCCACAGCTTTGATCCTTTTAGATCAAAGCAAGGCATTTGATTTAGTAAATTTCAGCATGTTGTTTGCAAAATTGCAGTACTTAGGTTTTAAATCTGAATCGTTAATATTCATTACAAGCTACATTACTGGACGTCAGCCAAAAGTGGTTATAAATAAAGATATATAATATATATTATATTCCTGCCTAAAAACAACATTGTCTGGTGTACCCCAGGGAAGTATATTGGGACCGCTAATATTTTCTCTGTATACTTTTGATTTGCAGAATATTTTTTCGTCGTGCTCTGTCCACATGTATGCTGATGATTTACAACTTTATAAGGAATAAGATATGTCCTTGGAACACATTTTAATGCAGTAAACCTAGATCTGAAACACTTGTTTGAATATTGTAGCAAGCATGGCTTAAAATTAAATCCAGACAAAGCTGTAGCTCTTTGTGTTGGTCCAAAGAAAAGGCGAGAGGCAATCACTTATTATGGTCATTTGACGCTCGGATCTAATGATATTGAGTGGGTAAATCTTGCTAAAAATTTGGGAGTAATATTTGACTCTGAATTATCATTCACATTTCATGATTTTTAATTAAAAAATATGTATAAATTCAAACATGCTACTAAATTGAAACTTGTAAAAAGTCTGATACTGCCGCACATTGACTATTGTTCCGTGGTTTATTACAATTATTTAACTCAATATAACAAATTATAAATTACAACACATTCAGAATGCTTGCATGGGATTCGTATGTTGCATTCCTTATAGAGAGCATTTAACTCCATATATCTTAAATATGAACGAATTTAAAATTAATGAAAGAATGACGTATTTAATCACATCGTTCCTCTATAAGTTGCTTAAATATCATAAGCCTTTGTATTTATTTACTTTAATAGAAACACGTTCAAATACACACACAGAACTAGTAAATTTGAGGGAAGTTTCAGTTATTTTTTTTTTTAATAAATGTAGGTAATTTATATTTTGTTTAAGGACTCAATGTGTTTTTTGTTGTTGGATGTAGTGTAAGATAGCTAAGCTAACTACATCCATTTGTGTAAGAAATTGTATTTTTTTTTGCACAATAAACATTATTATTTTTTTTTTGTTGTATGATGTTTTCCATTTTCTTAAGAAGTAGTATTATGATATTTTTAATTTGAATAAACATAATATTGTTAGGTTATATGCAATAAATATTACTTACACGTCAAATAATACAATTATACACAAAACTAAACATTATACATAAAACATATTAGGCATAAACAATATAAACATTTAAATTAAAATATAGTTGGATGAATTTTGTAAACAATCAAGTAATTTTAAACAATTATTTTAGGTTATGTTTTCTTCTTCTTCTTCTTTATTTTTGATGTTTTTAAATATAGGTTTGTATCTAAGATCAACTTGTTCGTTTAGACTTATTATATTTTTATTATTTTTTATTATTAAAATAAAAAATAATAAAAATATAATAAGTCTAAACGAACAAGTTGATCTTAGATACAAACCTATATTTAAATACATCAAAAATAAAGAAGAAGAAGAAGAAGAAAACATAACCTAAAATAATTGTTTAAAATTATTTGATTGTTTACGGAGTTCGATTTTGTCCTCGGTGAGAAGCGCATCGCTCCTGCATTGCTCCATGAAAAAGTATGAAAAATAGTTGACTTTGACTCAGGGAAGACAGAATCGGATTCCAGTGCTAGATAATATTCCTCGTTTTGTCCTTTTTTTAAAAGGAATAGAGGAATTTATATAAAGCTATTATAAATTTTAAGGTTACATAACCTATTTGTGTCGTCCACGTGTTTAATAGACAACCGTTGTCCAATGGTTTTTGGGTCTTCTGGAACCATTGGACGTTAAAACTTGTATCTGGTTAATAAGGATTTTTGTCCAGGACCACAAGGGCGGTGGTTAATCCATAAATCCGCCCTAAGTTGAAGAAGAAGAAGAAGATTGTTTACAAAATTCATCCAACTATATTTTAATTTAAATGTTTATATTGTTTATGCCTAATATGTTTTATGTATAATGTTTAGTTTTATATATAATGTGTATAATTGAGGCGTTTCTCGGAAAAACATCATTAGTCCAATATCGTCGAAATTTAGATATTTGCACCAACTGTTTCCTAACCAGTGATCTTTAGCGCTGAATATCCGTATTTGACCTAGTAGTATGGTGGGGATTAAGGAAAAAAATCCGTATAATTCCGTATTTCGTATTTTACACTTATTAAGTAATTTTTTTATCAATAATTAGACTAATTTAGGGGAAATTTAATTTCCATGTTGATGATTTATTTTTTAGAATAAAAAACGTAGTATAATTTAATTTTTAAGTCTTGAGCAAGAAGGCAATTCTTTTATTTATTTTTTTCTATAACCATTCTAATATCACTTTTTAATGTGGAATGACATATATTCCTTAGAGTATTACAGAATTAATTATTATATCGGATGACGGAATAAACACTGGTGGTGACATCTCTGTGTTTAATATCTAACAAATTTTAGACAAATCAAACTTTACTTACTGCTAATTAAATTATTTTTTTATGGTACACGTTTGGAATTGCATATTCCGCTCGAATGAAAAGTTTGACGATTTCACGTATTCCAAACTTGTTACAGAATATACTATTCTCGCCTTTTTTATATAGAAAATGTGAGAAAAAGAAATTAAGAAATATTTTTTTTCTTCTATTTGTTCATACTCCAGTTAAATAGTTTCAAATTTTAGAGAAAAAAATGCAGTACTCAAATTAATTAATTAATTAATTTACAGATAACTGTATTTAGTTCAGTCTTGTGGATAAGTAAAACCGAAAAAAAAAAGATTTTTAACCTAAAAATATTCGGGGAAAAATCACCCCAAAGAACGAAAGGCTGTAACTACAGAGTTGGCGATAATTTAGGTATAAAATTTGGATTTATTATAAATCCGTATAAAATCCGTATTGCCCCCAAAATCCGTATATAAATCCGTATATTTTCCCAATACACTCGAAATTCCGTAGAATACGGAAAAATCCGTATATCTGGCATCACTGTTCCTAACCTCCATATATACGTATACAAATAAGTGTTTCTCGTAAAAATGTCATAGGTTCCATAATAATTAAATATGAAATTTAGCTTGTTCTTCTAAAAACATCACAAGTCCACTTAGTTTCGTCTAAGAAAGTCACATGTGCATAACATGTGACGTTTTTGGACACTCTAGAAAAGCTTCTACCTCTTTTACATGACCACAGCAATAGAAAATTTTATGATAACTTTATAAAAGACCAGAAGACCATAGCACCTGACAGTCCTGATAACACGGTCGACAACGATGATAACAGCAGTGGATGCGAAGACTGAGTATGGCAGTAATACAGTTTTTAGTTTTTTCATTTATTTTGTTCCTCAGAGTTAATATTTAGTTTGTAGTGTTTGTAGTAAGGAGAATTGTTCGTTTTTTTCTTCTAAAAACCTCACATGTTCATGTATTTTTTGTGTTTTTTTCATATTCGTTTGAAAAAAAAACATGAGGAATTCTGGACAAAGTATCTTACATTTTTTTACATGTAGTAAATAGGTCAATAAAGTAATGTTAATTTTGGACTAATGATGTTTTTCCGAGAAACGCGTCAATTGTATTATTTGACGTGTAAGTAATATTTATTGCATATAACCTAACAATATTATGTTTATTCAAATCATGTATTTCAGTGAACTACTGATGATGCCAAAAGAGGCGAAACTAGTATAGTTTTGAAAATAAAAATAAAATTAACTGCAGAGAAGTGTAAGTCATTTCATTTCATAATAAAAATTATTATTATTATTATTATTATTATTATTATTATTATTATTATTATTATTATTATTATTATTATTATTATTATTATTATTATTATTATTATTATTGTTAAAGGCCTCTCTTTTTAGTACCGTATTCAAAATTTGAGCCAAATCGGTGAGGTAATGTCCAACATTGGTATCTGAAATCATTAAATGTGTGATTAATTAATAACTCCTAATTGGATTGCAGTTCAAATGAAATCCTGCAGCATTTGCTATTCAAAGCACCTAAATATGTCGAAGACTGGTTTATATCCTTGATATCCTTATCGAAGCGAAGCAAGCGAACAGAAAAAGTTGAACACGTTCGTGCGGTTCCGCGCCCCTGCAGTTGGGGCGACGCATCGACGGCGTCGTCGGCGCTCGACGCCGCGGCGTCAGTGCGTTTCAGCATGGTCGACGGGACGGCCGTGTCTAGCGCGAAATGTGACAGTGCCGAGTGACGATGAGGCAGGGCCGGCAGAGAGCGCCCCATGGCGTGGGGCCGCTCCTGCTCATCCTGCTGATCCTTTGGACCCGCTCCACATCCCGCAGCGGCGCTTTGGCACAGCAGAATGATAAAAAAGCAAGCTCTGGTAAATACACTTTTATTCGCTATTTTGTTTATTTAATATTTACATTTTACTAACCGGTTTTTATATTTTAGTTTATTATTTTTTATATTGGAACCCTGTTTTATACTCCCCATATATTTTTTTTTTAGAAATTAATGCATGTGTAGGTTATTAAAATATAAACTTTGGGCGAAATTTACAACACAGGACAGTTTTAATGAGTTTCAAACCCTTGTTGCAAATTATAAATGTTCCAATTAAAATGCATTAAAATACTTACTTTAGTTTTTCACTTCAGAATGGTAAAATCATTTTATTTTTTTTTTATTGCAGCGACATATTTACTTGATTATTTTTTATTTTCTATATATATATACTGCTCGTCAAAATTAACGCATAATAAGTAAAAAAATTCTAACTCTAAAACACCTTTACCAATCTTTATGAAATTTTGTATAAAAATTCTTCAACTTATGTCTCAGTTTACGTATTCGAGGGTTTTTCAAAAAAATATTTTTAAAGCCCTTTAATTAAATAATAAAAAAACGTTCTAAAAATAAGTTTTAGAGAATTTTTTTTAAGTAAATTAAAAATATGGTGTTAAAGACTGTATTTTTGTTAGAATACCCTAAACATTTTGTACAAATTAAACGAACAGTAACAAAGATACAGGGCTTTAAAGTCGGTAAAAATTACCCCTTTTTGATTATTTTGCTGAAAAATGGTCATTGTTGACGACTTTGAAGCGCTGTATTTTCGTTACTGTTCCTGTGATTTGTACAACATTTTCAGGGTTTACTAATAAAAATACGGTCTTTCACAGGATATTTTTTATTTACTTAAACAAAATTTCCCTATAAAAGTTTTTTTTCGAGCGATTTTTATTATTAAATTAAAGGGCTTTAAGGATATTTTCTCGAAAAACCATTGAACACCTAAACTGAGATATAAGTTAAAGTATTTTTATCCAAAATTTTATAAAGATGGTAAAGGCGTTTTAGAGTTGGATTTTTTTACTTGTTATGTGTTAATTTTGACGCGCAGTGTATCAACCTATTTTAAATATTTCGCAATTAAAGCACGTTTGAATAAATTTGTTGATCATCAAATTTAAATAAAAAAATTTTCATGGAGTATTATTCTACTTAAAATTGGTTAAAATTAAAAAAGGTAAGTAATCACAATAAACTTAAGTGTTTTTTATAGAGGCTGTCCCAAAAATAATGTATACATACGCCAAACGATAAATAAAGCAGTTACTTTCTTTTATAAGCTAAAATAGTACACCACGAGAACTATTTTGAAAATGGTTACTAAAAATCCAGTAAAAAGATTACAGCTTTAATATTTTGGGAGGAAGGGCTAGTGTGTTTATTAATGATTCCCAAATTCATATATTTAACTTACATGTGCTGTTTGGCATTTATCTTTTTAACTGAAGAGTGGGTAGTAATTACAAAACTACTAACAAAAAATACAAAAACGTTGTAAATGGGTCTACTACGCATGTGATGATTTCGGAGTGTCAACTTACAAACTTAAAATTACAAGAAAAATATATGTAGACAAAAACGTTTTTATTACGCGTTCATAAAGCAAGAGTTTAATGAAATATAATTATATAAAACTTTGGTGCCAATAAATATACACAATTAAATTAACATTTAATTTAACAGAATTAAACCATAACCATCGAATGCACAAGATAATATTGAAAATACCACCCGAATGGCATAAAGAATAAATTACATAAAATGACATAAAGCATAAATGTATATAGCCGATTGTCAAAATATAATTTTTATTGTTATAAACCATAAAAAAGATGTTTTCGCCTTTATTACTTAAATTTGATATACTCCATTTTAACGTAGGGCAGAATTATTCCCACCCTTTTAGTATTAAATATAACATAACTAGGGATTGCAATTGCTGGACCCTCATCCAGCAATCCAGCTGGATCCAGCGCATTTTTCAGCCGGAAATAATTAACTTTCCAAATTATCGCGCAAAAGTCTACGTTCTGTAACGCTTGCGGCACGTGCTACACTTCTTTCTACACCGCACTTTCCGCTCTCGCTTGATTAAGTTTTATGCTAAATAAGTCCCTTCTTAGAACCTCTGTGGCCAGGGTTGTTTGTTTTGATAATTGTGAGTATTTTGACTGAATTTAATTATAAACATTATACATTATGTATACATTACATTACAGTAGTTACATTGGGATAAAAAGACACAAAACTTGTAATAATAATTATTATAAAAATCTTTATTGTATATATATATATATTAGGGTGGTCCTTAATAAGGTTATTTTTAAATTTCTTTGCTCCCAGGGGCTTAAATGCTTCCAAATTGATAAAAAAAAATTCCCTGAAAATTTGAGCTCTTAATATTAACTCTAAGATAGTGCGCATTCCAATCTAAGTTTCCTATGGAAATAACATAGGAAAAATTACTTTTGTTGTTTATAATTTTATAACTTGGGAATGAATGAATTTTTATAGATAATTTAACGCTCTACAAAAAAGGTCTCTTATAATTTTTTCATTAGTCTATTGGTTTAAAAGTTATTCAACGCCAAAGTTTAATTTTCATATTATTATTAATATTATCAAGGCTTTTTTATGAGGCGCCGTTTGTGTCAAAATTAAAACTGCTAAATAAACTTATTTTGTTTTATAAATAATTAATTATATGCTTTACCAAATAATTTTTTTATAAAATTATTTTTTATAAAATAATTTTTTTTTTAATTATTTTTTTTTTGTAAAAAATTTTATAAAATAATTTTTTTATAAAATTTTTTTTTATAAAATAATTTTCTGCGAATCAAAAATTATTTTATAAAAGACGACGGGCGCATTTATAAATTAATTTTTACTGCACCAATCTCTATTAAATACAAACAAATTTTGTTTGTAGACACTCGAGTAAACCCGAGTGAACCCGAACGCCCCTCCCCAGATACAATTTTATGACGGACTGGGCTTTTGTTTGACGTAATTTGGGGGAACGATTGAAAATAACAATTTATTATTTTTATTAATTAATTTATTTATTTATTTTAATTTGTTTTCAAGAGAATTATTTTATTTATTTATTTTGGTTTTTAACAAGTGCTTTCTTATAAAAAACGTTTAAACATAAAGAATTCTTGTTAAAAACTTAAAATCAAAATAAATGTAGATAAAAAAATTAATGAATTAATGAATAAAAATAATAAATTATTATTTTCAATTGTTTCCCCAAATTGCGTCAAACAAAAGTCCAGTCCGTCATAAAATTGTATCTGGGGAGGCCCTCCCCGGGAGGGGCGTTCGGGTTTACTCGGGTTTACTCGAGTGTCTACAAACAAATAGAGATGGCTGCAGTAAAAATTAATTTATAAATGCGCCCTTTTATAAAATAATTTTTGATTCGCAGAAAATTATTTTATAAAAATATAATTTTATAAAAAAGAATTATTTTATAAAAAAATAATTTTTTAAAAAAATTATTTTATAAAAAAATAATTTAAAAAAAAATTATTTTATAAAAAAAAATTTAAAAAAAAATTATTTTATAAAAAAATAATTTTATAAAAAAATTATTTGGTAAAGCATATAATTAATTATTTATAAAACAAAATAAGTTTATTTACCTTTTACTTTTAATTTTGACACAAACGGCGCCTCATAAAAAAGCCTTGATAATATTAATAATAATATGAAAATTAAACTTTGACGTTGAATAACTTTTAAACAAATAGACTAATGGAAAAATTATAGGAGACCTTTTTTGTAGAGCGTTAAATTTTCTATAAAAATATGTATGATTTATAATTTTTAATTCATTCGTTCCCAAGTTATAAAATTATAAACAACAAAAGTAATTTTTCCTATGTTATTTCCATAGGAAACTTAGATTGGAATGCGCACTATCTTAGAGTTAATATTAAGAGCTCAAATTTTCAGGGAATTTTTTTTATCAATTTGGAAGCATTTAAGCCCCTGGGAGCAAAGAAATTTGAAAATAACCTTATTAAGGACCACCCTAATATATATATATATATATATAAGGGTGTTTAAAAAAAACAATTATTTCTTTTCCAATGGTGTTGAGAAATTAATAGTACATTAAAAAACAAAAATTTTGGCGCCTATTTGAGCCCTTAATATTAATATTAAGGTTTGCCTCAATTCATTTGTTGTTTTTCCATTCCATTATTATCACGGGATTTTTTTTTATTTTGAATTCTTATAACTTTGGAATGGTTTGTTTTCGCAACACCCAAGCGAGAGGATTTATAGGAAATTTCACGCTCTACAAAAAAATCCGAAGGTCAAAGTTCTTCAGATCAACCGTTTCAAAGATATCAGCGATCAAAAATAACACTAATCAAAAAATTTCAAATATTTTCCAATAAAACTACAAAAATATATCATATGCCATATTTATATATAAAAGTGATTTTACATAAAAAATAATATTATATTTTTTATGTAAAATCACTTTAATTATGTTAACCTGAGACTGTAAACTTTTTTTTGCTAATTAATTCAATACGTAACTCACAAAAAGCACAAATACATAAATATAAAGATTAAAAATATTAAATAAATGATTTTTGGGTGTCTTTTATAACATTTTTTTTTTATTTTCTGCTAAATACTAAAAAATTTTATTGAACAATTACTTCTATATAACAAAAAACAATATTAAACAACTATAGTTATGAAATTTTTTTAACTTGAAAATATTACAGTCTTATAAAATTACTTTTATTGCAATTAGGATGCGTTTTCTATGTTCTGTCACTACTTGCAACAAATATATTGAATCTGTTCTTCATCCATACTATACTATACTAAAAGTTATCGAACTCTTTTTATTTTATAAATTTGTTGTTCCTTTGTTAAAAAGTGTTGCGTTGGGTTGGGTTGTTTGGTTTGGTTTGTTTGTTTTAGTTTTATCGTAACATAAAATCAACAAAACAAACAATCTGCTAAATAAAGCTCTGACAATATTTTTCAAATAAA